CCTTCCATCAAGCCTTTGGTTCTTCCACTACTTGTCTCCAACCAAAATTCTCCCAAAGACAGAATCGCGAATTACTACTCGATATGAAGTATTTGAAATTTACCTACATGAAACATTTTATATCTTATCTAGGCTCTAGTGTTAAAAAAATGTGTTTTCTGGATCAAAGCTTGGACCCTCCCCCAACAAAAATTTCTTGCATGTGCCCCTGCTTGTGGTATTTATCTACCCCGGAAGACGTTTATTCAAACTTTCACTTTGATTGAAAATAACTTTCGAGGACTAAGCAGCTCACGTAAGGATTGCACCCCTTGTTGCTTTGTGTTTGAGCAAACATCTCACGAATTTCTTTTCTTCAATTTTTTTTCCAGATGCATCTTCAACAGTGTACGTGACGTGATGTTAACTCAACAAGAACCAGAAACAGTGGCTCAGAAGAAGAGCTCTATCATAAGTTCATTGCGGAGTAGGAGTGGCAGGGAGGATCTAATCTCGCCACTTCCTTTTGCTGATACATTTGGGAGTCGTTTCAGGAAGATTTCTGACATTGTTGTCCAAGCTTCGAAAGAATCAGTTCCGGGAGTACGGAAGCCAAGCATTTTGACCTCGACCCTAGAAGTGCGAAACGCTGAACCCGATTGGCATAGTCATCTTCCCAATAATCTCGCTGTAGCTGTAACCTCAGAGCAGGGAGAAACTCTGGAACTTATCACAAAGGTGACATCTATAACTAGATTAAAAATAACTGGAAATCGAAAAGGGCATGATAGATTGATAGGTAGTATTCTAGCTCGCTGACCAAAAGGATGTGTTTCTCTTTACCACCTTTGCAAAGAACGCTAGATGTTAAGTTGAAAATCATTTCGAATGTTACTCGACCATTATCCCTTTTTTGTTGGCTCAGTATTCCTCCTATGTCAAGCCTGCTTATTACTTTCCAACATTCTTATCGCTAATCCGTATGCGACCCAAGAGTTCGCACGAATTTTAAGGGCGCGGCACCACGTGGTCTCCTCACTCTCAGCTCTCTTACTTGCGTCCATCTCTCACGTCAATTGTTTTGTAGCAGTGTATTAATCGAAGAAATTACAAGAAAATAAAGGGTGCTTGATAGTTTTTTCAAATAGAAAAACGGAGAATAGGTTGTGTCAATTGCTGTTTCTTTAGTGATGCTTCTTTTAGTTCTCCCCTTGCAACCGTATTTATTGTATGTCTGATAATATTCAAGCGTTTGAACAGCATTTTTATGTTGTGTATCTTTTCTGATCGTTAATGATTCTAGGTTCCCCTTGTCTCCAGTGTTGACGTGTGGTTGGCTGCGTTGTTGAGGAGTATCACTGAATCTCTGCGATCCTCCATCGTAGATTGTATTCAGGATATTGACTCAGGACTTAGTCTAGAAGAGTGGATTTTCAAGGTTTGTCAAGGCATAAATTATCAATAACTCAGTGTTTTCCCTGATTGATTAAGGGTTATTTCTAAGAGTCTTTAAAGAATACATAAGAGAAATTGAACTTCTCATCGTATCAACGATGTTTAGCTGAAAAGCAAAAGAATTAGCCATATCAATTTTAGAATTGCACTTAAAAGCGCAGATGCCCGTAATTCACACGCACATCTTAATTTTCACTCCGTGAGACGAAAAGCTGTAACGCCTCATGTTATGCCCTTAGCTTGGCTAGCCGTGAACAGGTAACTACTTTTGTGTGGTGGTTGGTGGGCCTGTCGTATGGTCGTGAATAATAGTCTCTCACAGGTGGTGTTTCTCACATGACTTTCTGTTTCCAGTATCCTTCACAGACCTGTAGATTAGGACTGCTTTACATCTGGACAAGGGAATGTGAGGCTGTAAGTGTCTACGTGCTGTTGTACGTGCCTATGCTATATAAACTGCATTCGTTTAGGATATGACATAGTCTAAAAGTATATCGCTTAAGTTATCGTGGGGTATTGAAGATGATTGGTCTGCGTTTATTGAGAATCCATCTTGATGACTGAATCAGTTAGCCTTGGTGTCAGGTTTATATGGGGATTTCAAGCCAAATCGAAGTTTGTCAGTTAGATAGCGTTGTTTAAAATAATTGGTCGTTTGTTACAAAATAAAGCATAAGTATTGGATTGGTTCGTATACGTTTATCTAACAACTTGAAAAGCAGCTGTAATTATTTCCATGTATGAATTTTACTTAATAGCACGTCTTTCTCTGTTAGGGAATCGGAGATATTCGTATTGACCGTAAAGCAATGCCCAACGCCTCTCGTCGGTTTTGGTCACTTATCAGCAAGCTGCCAAACCTCCTGGCCAGGGGTTCTTGGAAACACACTGACTCTCCCATGACTTCCTATCATAAACTGCGACTGGAGACCTTGGTCTCGGTGAGTAAAATTAATGCACAATCAATACCGTAATCTCACCAGCATTACAACTGGTGGGATTACGGTACTGGAATACACAACGATCCAGTGTCACAGCCTGCTAGACTCGGGGTGAAGAGGTCACGGTTCGAGCCCAGGCCGGGGTTATAATTTACATGTTGTATGTTTTGTTTTCTCGAGGAAGACTCTTCACTCTTACATTGCCTCCACACGTGATCTTTAACCCTTTAACCCTTCCACTCCCAAGATCTCATTACTAATTCTCCCTACTTTCTGCCATAAAATACTCATGACGCCAATTCGGAGAATTTGGTATTGGATCAACTTGTAGTCCCCTAATTGAGTTTTCTTTATTCTCCTCACTTGTCTGCCTGATACTGTATTAATATTGTAAGGAGAAATTCTCTCTCGGTCACTCATGAGAGTTAAAGGGTTGAATACGAAATGCTTTGGGTAAAAAATACACCAGCACCCACCCAAAACGCGAAGCAATAGTCGCAATTTGTTTCAGACTCTGCAACTAGTTAAAGCAGCTATACTAGTCGGTCCCTCATGAGAACTTCACTTTCCACAGCAAGGAATGTACTTAAGAGATGTTCTCGAAGACCTCGGTAGGCGCAAGCTTAGAGATGTAGTGGACTTTGAATGGAAGAGAAATATCAGGTTCTATGGAACAGACAATAGCAGAGCACCTGGTTAGTGAATCTTTAGCCTATTATGTTGCTTAGAGAACTTTCAACTTCGCATAAAACGCTTCTGAAACTCGTATTAATTTGTACAGTTTGAAGGAAGAAAAAACGTATGAAATGTAAAATATAAAAAGAAGATTGGCAACCATCTACCCACTTTCTGGAAGTTACACGTACAGCTGTAGAAGTGACATTTCTGTATCAAAAGGAATATACACTAACCATGCACTTAAATAAAACAAATACTTCTAGAATATGATAAAAAAAGAGCATTTAACTTGAAAGAAACCACATGATATGAACTCAAAATGATGGAAGGACACCAAAGACAGAATAATAAACGCATCAAAAAATAACGAACTCGAAAACATTTAGCCCGATTTTTCAAAATGTAGATACTGTAAAATTGTTACTTATAAAATATTCAGTTATTGACTATGCGTTACTCTTTAGGGAGGTCACCTTCACTTACATTATTGCCTTCACTGGAAGGAGCCGTTAGTCGTGCTGCCAGTTCGGAACCTCCCAAGATTACAGCTGGTGTTCAGGAGCATGAGGATCTTTATATTCACATGTTGGACGCTCAGCTATCTTATGGCTTTGAATTCTACGGCTGCGATGTTTCCCTCGCCCTTACTCCCATAACAGAGAGGTGCTTTCTGAGTTTGACACAGGTAATGCGATTTGTTGATCAGCGGAACAATTGTATAGTTAATGAACTGTTTCTGTTTTGGTTTGGGAGCAAAATGCAGATATCTGACTTTGTTGTAATCTGGGGCTTTCCCGAGGGACGAAATGTGCTTGTTGAAGTGGGGGCTTTTTGTGAGCCTCGTGTGCTTACCGATATATGAAAATACATAAAGGGGAAAGGATCTTCGGGAAAGTAGATTCATTAAAGCGCTTTTTTGTTCTGATCATGTTTAGGCCGTATGGAATGTCTTTGGGGGTTCGCTTGTTGGACCAACAGGAACAGGAAAAACTGAGACAGTAAAGGTAATTTTTGCTTGCAGTTGTTGCTTTGCTCCTTAATCTTGCTCTTACCCTTGCTTTTCTCCTTTCTTCGCCACATGAATCTACATCTTGTCTAATTGTCCTTTTGTTACTAGCATCAGGTGCTCCTGAGGAACATCTGAAGTACCATTTGGAAAGTCGTGGGTTAAAAAACGAACGTTCGGCAACTTTTTTTTCCCCAAGTATTCATTATTGAATGGTATGTTTGTTTCCACAGGGTCTAGCATCTTTGCTTGGTCGTTATCTGGTCTCACAGAGTTGTTCTCCAAAGATGTCTTCAACAGCGATAGGAAAGATTATTGTAGGTCTGGCAGAGGTGAGAAATCTATGAGCTCTTGGTTTCTTTTTTTTTTTTTTCTTTTTTTGTCTTGAAGACCTAATTCTTGCTGTCTTTTCTGTTGCAGGAAGGTTGCTGGGGTCTGATGGATGAGTTCCATAAAATAAACATGGAGTGTCTTTCAGTTATGCTGTTTGAGATCCAAGCTGTGCTACTCGCTTTGAGAGGTGGACTTTCTACCTGCACTTTGGAGGATGGAAAGGATGTATGTGATTATAAAAATTGCTGCAATGTGGTAGATAATAGGGATAGCTAGATAAGAGTGGGCAGTGGGCTGGACTCGAGGTGGAGAAGTCTTGGTCCAAGCTCTGGCCTTAGTCACTCGGTCACAGGGCCTCTCTCCGCCTTTTGCGTTAAAGAGTAACAAGAGTCTTTCAGGGAAAGTTGAAGAAATGCTATTAGGTAACACCAGGAACATATTAACACTAAACTATCAGGGAAGCTGAAAAATTGCTGTTAGGTAACACCAGAAGCCTATTAACAAAAAGCTTTCAAGGAAAGCTGAGGAATTGCTGTTAGGCAACACCAGAAGTATATTAACAAAAAGCTATCAGGGAAAGCTGAAGTACTGCTGTTAGGTAACACCAGAAGCACAAAAAGCTATCAGGGAAAGCTGAGAAATTACTGTTAGGTAACACCAGAAGCATATTAACAACAAACTATCTGGGAAAGCTGAAAAATTTCTGTTCGGTAACACCAGAAGCATATTAACAAAAAGCTATCAGGGACAGCTGAGGAATTGTTGTTCGGTAACACCAGAAGCATATTAACAACAAACAATCAGGGAACTGTTAGGTAACACCAGAGGCATATGACCTAGTTCTAGGTTATATGCGTCTGGTAAGATGCAACCGACAGACCTTCCTAGATATTTCTAATCGCCACGTGTCACCAAAATCGGGAAATGTTCCGCCGGTAATGGTAGCTATGTGTTGAAGGGTTCTTTGCTCACTTGACATCAAAATGAAACAAGAACAACTAATTGGCACAGGACCCCCTAGCCGAGTTTCGCTTTGATGATGATAAAAAAAAAAAGTTTAGAATCTCAGAAAATACATTTCAGATCAAAGTTGAAGAGCAGCAGTTATGTATATTGAAAATACTGACAAAAATTAAGCGTTATTTCTACTCAAGGGCTACCATTAACGGCTTTTTTTCTTTGTTTTGTCTTTAATGGCAGGTCACTGTTAAACCCAACTTTTCCATTTTCCTCACCATTTGTTCCAATGGACACAATTATGAATTCCCGCCTGAGGTCCGTGCTTTGTTCCGTTCTGTTGCCATGGTGATGCCAGACACATCTCTGATACTGAGGGCTCACTGCGCAGGGCAGGGTTTTAAGTCCCCCAAGATTTTAGCGGATCGTCTCAAGCTTGTCGCAGATGTCTGCAAGGAGCAACTGTAAGTCACCACATTAAAACAGACCCTTCAATAAAGAAGCGACCCCGATTTAAGAATTTTTGGAAGGGAATAATTCTTGTAGCTGAAGAGCACTTACCCTTCTATTTTCAACCATCCTTGTTCGTTTTGTCTTATTCTCAAGTTCGTCGTTGGTAATCTGTTTTAATCTGGTCCATCCCAAGCCATCCCCGTTCCATTTTTCGTTGAATTCTTCTCTTTTCGGCTTTACTTTTCTCACTAAACTTATTTTTTATGGTTTCTTTCGTGTTGAAAATAATTTTGACTATAAAAGCGCTGGACCCGAAACAACGTTGCGTAGCAGTAAAGTATGTGCTAGTGCTTGCGTCAGCTTGCGCCCGTTGATCAACGACATATGTATACCCTTGACGAACGAGAGCGTGGAAATCGGAATAACTTTCCATAAAGATATTTCACATGTTTGGTTTTCTGTGTATCCTTCCTCGACAGAAGTGGAAAGAGTCACCACAACTTCAGCCTGTCGTCTTTTGTGGGCGTCATACAACATGCTGGCAACAGGAAAAGCTCTCAGGGACCTCTGGGAAGCAAACTTAATGCCGTGCAAGCTGATTTGGCGAGACCCTCCAGTACGCAGTCAGTAGCCACACAGTTTGGTAAGTAAGGTCGAGAACAGTCGTAGAGAACGTAACTGACGGTAAAACGGCCTTGCGTTAAACACACAGACGATTTGGCGCAAAATGCTGTTGCGTGAAGCGCGGATCATGTTGAAAAGTTGTCACTCTCCTTTGCGAAGTTTTTCGGCAGAAGTGAAGTCCTACGGAATGTTTTCAAATGTTATATGTGATTTGTTGTGTTTGTTTGTCTTGTTTAGTGCGTTGTTTGTTTATTTTTTTTCTGGTTTGCATCTTTTAATCAGCTTATTGTGCGAAAGACATATTTTGCTCAGTCAAGTGAGACGGCTTTGGGCAGGCACCCCTGAAAAAGGACTATGGGCCGTTGAACAAACTATTTTATCAAATAACGGCGACCTAGAAATAAAAAAAAACTTGCGTATTTCTGTAGGTGACTGCTTATCATTAAATCTGGATTTAGTCTCGCTGTTTTCATATGCATGTTGGAACGCTTTTGAAGACAATATAATCACGGAAATGATGGAATAGATGTCTAAATTTTTCTCAGGAGCTGGAAAGGACAGAGGAAGCCAGTTTGGTCAGAAAGACAAAAAGCCTACTACTCCATCCGCTTTAACTTCTGCTGCCAGACTAGAGCATTCGTTCGTTTTACAATCACTGCAAGATTGTATTGGTCCAAGATTATCACCCGAGGTAACTATTGTATCTTTACAAAGTGGTAGTGGTTGAAGAAAACTTCACGTTTGTGGCTTTAGCAATCCATCGTGTATTCTCAGAGGTAAATCTTATTACCAATTGCAACGGGAACACTTCCTAAGACTGACTCGTTGAAATTCTCACTGTCGATAGGGTGCATAATTTCCTATTTATTGGTTTATTCTTTGTCAACCTATCATTCATTTTAAGCCTCTCGTTTACCTTCAGGAACTTAACGTATTTAACATGGTTCTACGTGATGTTTTCTATGGTCTTCCTAAACCTCCTGCCCCAGCATTCCACATAACCAAAGTGGTTCAAGATTTCGAGACAGTTCTCCTGGCGCACACACGGGAGAAAGGTTTTGTCCCTCATCAGCCTTGGATTGCAAAGATACATCAACTGTGGACTCTCTCCAAAGTTCACCGAGGTTATTTATTTCCTAAAATTGTTGTTAGGTGGTCATTTTATTGATCTCGCGTACAACATATACCTGTTCTTAGAGTTTTTAGAGAAACCGTGATGCTGCGTCGGTGGGGGAAATTATAAGATGATGTAGTTTTAGCAACTGAGATGATAATGGAAATTGGCCACTGTAAAGACTTTCTAAAGCTGACGTTTCGAGCGTTAGCTCTTTGTCATTCCCTTTGACGAAGGGCTAACGCTTGAAACGTCAGCTCCAGCGGAAACTCTTTACCTATTAGCCTTTGTCAACCAATTGTGCAGTGGAGACAAATCACGGAGCAGGCGGCGCAGTCCCCGCTTTTTCGTTTGTTTCCACAAATTTGCCGCCTGGAGCAGGCTATCGGAGCATTGGGGATTTGACAATGGTGACAGCGCTAGGTTCACACCATTATAACAAGAATACCAGTCTTCTACATAGAGTCAGAAATTAATGGAGTTTACTTTTGGGTCGCGTTTTCGTATCTTTGAAATGTTTTTCGGTCTCCCTGGACCAATTCCTTCAACAATAAAGTAACATTCAAATTCAATTCGCTATCGATTTGAAGTTGGTAAAGACCAAGCTGTTACGATTACGAATGACATATTGACTAGGAAAGAACATATCTAAGGTTTTTTTCTCTGCTCACACTATTCCTATACCACTTAGGAATCATTGTCGCCGGACCTCCCGGTACTGGCAAATCCTCCTGTATCTCAGGACTGGTGGAGACCCTCAGTGAATGTTCACTGACAAAACACAAGAACACAGGTTCACAGATGCATACACACAAGTTACAGAGAATAAATCCATTAGCCGTGTCTGATCCAGCTCTGATGTTTGGTAAAGTGAACTCATCTTCAGATTTTGAGGATGGCATCTTCACTGCTTACTTCAGGAAGGCCAACAAGGACCATAGTGTGCATAAGATGACGACCTGGCTATGCTTAGACGCTCCTTTGCATCAAGGATGGGCTGAGTTTCTGAGCAGCGCGTTGGATAAAGGAGAGGTAATGACATGTCTAGAGAACTTTCCTCACTCGTTAGAACGCGGCTTTTATGGGTTCTAAAGCACGGGTAGCAGAATGGGTAGATTTTGTCAGGACTGGCCATAAATGAGATTCGTTTCCCGTATCCAAGGCACCACAATGTGTCTTTTTTAACCTTTTCACTCACAATATCTCATTAGTAATTTGTTGCCTCTCCTCCCCTCAACTCCCTGCTCGTTTCTCCTTAAAGGCACCAGATGTAAGGGAAATGGGTAAAATGACTGCTGGAAAGTTTGCCATTCATTTTTTTTTTTTCAGTTATGTAAGACGACTTAAGATCATTTCAAAAAACCGTTTATTTTACAATCATTTTTTTTAATTTCACCTTTGCTGTTTATAACATGTTTACCGAAAAAAGGATTTCACGCATCTCGCTGTGCGTGTGGTCAATTTGCGAAATCATATAAAACGGGCGGATTGTTGTTGAAAGCCAGCGCACTATGTTTAATTGCCGCTAGCACGTTGAAGGATGTTGTCTTCTGTCGAAAATGATGCACTTTCAAAGTGGTAATGTTTGTGATTTTGTCTCCGTGCCTTTTGTTGTTTCAGTATCTGAACTTATTGAACGGTGAAAGGCTATATCTATCAGAATATGTCAAACTGATTTTTGAGACAGATGATCTGACAGACGCTTCACCTTCCACTGTCTCCAGATGTGTAAGTATGGTTTTGTCTCAATTGTTCCTCTAATTGTTATAAGAAGTCAGTTTTGAATTCTTGAAACTGCAGCTTCATTCTGTCAAACAGAAGTTCCAAGTCACCGCTTCCTCGTCATTATTGGTGCGCTGGGTGCAAATATAACACATAAAGATAAATTAGCGTTAGCCCTTCGCCAGTCACTCTGACGAAAGTGAGATGGCCACTGAGCCAAGGTTGACCCATCGGGAAAAAGCGTCTATGCTTGATCATACAAGTGTTGATATTGCTGTGGTCGCCTGAAAAAAAGTGCAGTAAATTGGCTTAAGATACCTATCATTTCCAGTTACGATGTTTAACTTTAAACGCCCTTCACTCAAACGAGCCTCCTTGAAGCAGCACTTCACACAAACAACATTGAAGTGTGTCCTTGTTTACTCTGGTTTTTATTTTTAATTTCATTTGTGACCTTAGGGTGTGGTCTACATGGATGAGACTGTGTTGGGCTGGAGACCTTTGGCTGAAGCCTGGCTGGCAAACAGATCTCCCCAAGAAAGCCATGTAGGTGTTTATTATCAACAAATAAAAACAGCGCGTTTCTAAGATCGATTCGAACAAAGAAATTATTGTAATTTGGGAATAATAGCGAAGAACTTTGAACAGTTCTTAAGCTGACGCCTTGTTTCTTCCTCTTTCTTAGTGTCTGCAACGAGCATTTAACAAGACCGTTGATGTCATCTCGCAGTTTGTTCACTATGAAGCAAGGTTAGCTTTTGTTTTACCTTCTCAGAGGGCCAGCCTTTATAATCCATTTCTAAGAGGTGGGGAGGGTAGGGGTGGCCTGGATTCTTATCAGGGAGGAGTAGCAAAAGGGAAGAATGATCAAACTTAATCTTGTGAAAACGAGGGAATCTAAACCTAGCGGGAATCTTTCAAAATGTTTGCTTGTATCGATATCTCCCCAAGTCGCTCTGCTTGTTGAGTCGCGATCAGAGTTCTCCTGAGTTTGTTACGTTACTGGTTGTAATCCTATTTGTTTTCTCTTTTGTAGACCATTCATGAAAGTTTGCGAGGTGGGGCTGTTTAACACGTGTCTCGCACTGTTAAAGGCATTGATCGAGGTAAGCGTGAGACTTATGTTGACTTTCCTGCTGTTGGTACTGCTGAGCTTGCAGTGCCAGGCTAAAAAAGAGTTTACGATCTTTCTTAACTCTGTGTTCCCCTAGTACTTTTGTGAAGGTGTATAATTGCTTTTTTGGAGTTCATAAATTCCAAAAGCTGGGAAAAATGCGTGCTGTTTCTCCATTCAGTCTGTGTTCTATAATGAAGAATGGAGAGTAACTTAATCAATTTGCACTGCAGAGTCATGTTAGTGAACGTAAAAAATAATGCAAGTTGCTGTGTTTCTGTTTATGATCAAATGTTTCGATCTCACCTCTTTTTAGGGCAACACTGACATTGGTGGCGAGCTTCATATTGAGAGGTTGTACTTGTTCTCGCTTATTTGGTCATTTGGTGGCCTTTTGGATGAACAAGACAGGAAGAAGTTCAGCGAGCTGTTACTGTCCCTGACAACTGCCTTGCCAGATTATGATCAAGAAATCTCCGTGTTTGATTATTATGTTGATGAATCTGGAGAGTGGGACCCGTGGCAGTCAAGGTGAGTTTTGTCACAGCGATTCAGAGCCACTCTCTTGAACAATTATTTGTGGGAAATTAAATTACCAATCGTTACCGACATACCCGTAGCCATGTAGCCAGGTAAATGTATTCACTTTTGGTTTTTTTTTCTTTTTCGATAAAGAGTTCCAGAAGTAAGCTATTTTGATGCAGCAGATCTCCTCGGAGAGGTATTCGTGGACACAGTTGACACAGTAAGTCCTCACATCTCATAAATATTATCACATTTTCAGCTTTACTGATTGTAATTTAACTTGCCTCTTCATTTTCTTTAATTATTCCTTTTCAATGTGCAGCTATTTTAAAAACACTAAGAAAGTCCCACAGTTGAAGCGCATACGCTCAAACAACAAAGCGAATGAACGATTTCTGCACGGAGGCTTTTATTTAATTTGTTAAGCTCCCGGATTTTTTTTTTTTTTTCATATAGATCCGTACACGTCAGTTCATGGAGTTGGCCAGCGCTTCTGGCAGAAACATTTTGCTGACAGGTCCTGCAGGATGTGGAAAAACATCACTGATCAGCGACTTCCTTGACAAGCAAGGTGAGCGTCAAAAACAATGTATCGTTATGAAAATCAGCACTTCCCGTTTTCTTTAGGCTGGATAATAAAACGCTAAATAAATTACATTTTGACTCAATATTGCTTTACAACGACATGGTCTTTCCTGATAGATTTATGTTTTTCCATTCCACTGTTTTTCAGAGGACAAGAACCAAATTGTAAAACGCTATGTATATTCAGGAACCTCGGGAGCTGCTTCATTACAGCATTTTATTGAACATAACATTTACCATAGACAAGGTGAGTTAACCCCAGTACCTGTTACTAACCGAGTGCGCAGTTTCGTACAGCCTGGGGTCGGTCCAGACCCCTTCTCAGTACAACGTACTCCTTCTCTTCAAGACAACCACTCGAGAGAGGATATTATTGTACGACACTGTTTTGTGTTTTCGGGCATTTTCCTACCACACTGTATCATCATTTTTTCTTTTCCCATTTTTACCTCCTTTATGTACTTTTCCTCTCCCTCTGAGAGAGCTACGTGATGGAGACCATAACGATAACGGTTGGACTAGCAAAAGAAAGATTGAACACATTGAAACATATTAAAATTGATTTGAAAACGGCACGGGAGAGACCATTTAAAAGCCAATCGATACATCAGTTATCAGAGGCACAATTTCATCTATTTACTAAAAATTTTAAAACGGAGGTAAACAACTTTTCACACGGAGCGGCGAAACTCGGGCAGTACAAAAATAATTTCCCATAAGCCCATAATTAGATGACATTACTTATTGTGTGACACAGGATTCGTGTATGGTGCCAAGAAAGGAAAAATACTCAACATGTTTATAGATGATCTTAGCCTTCCTCAGCGAGATCAATATGGAACTCAGGAGGTCAACGAGGTGAGTTTAACCTTGCATCTTTTTCCTCTTGATCTTATCTTTGCGACTGAAATGCGCTTGGAATATACCGTGAGGCATAAAAAATTTTGCGGAATGTCGATTTTTTGTGTTTTCGCGAACAAAGTGTTGCGACCAGCAATGTACCAGATTTCAGCTGGGAACTGATTTTTGCGATTCTCTGTTTAAACAGCCTAACATTTATAAAGAAATAAACTTAATATGTGCAGATTTTCTAACCTTTTGAGAAATATGCAGAGCAGCTTCAAGATCGATGGTTCCTTAAGGAGTGAATCTGCAGGGGCTTCATTAACTTTTCCCATAAGTGGTGCCTAAGGCGCATCCCAGACAGGAGAGCCTGCTCGCAGGCTAATCAGTCAGCGGTGACCGATGAGCGTTAAGCGTTGACCGTTCAGCTCCCATGAGTGACCAAGACAGAATTTCGCCTTACAATTTCGATATAACTTCATGAAGACAAGAGATGGGAATTAAGAAAAAATCAGTTAGGGGATTATTAGTTGATCCAGTACCAAATTCTCCAAACTTATTTCACATGAATTGTAGTGCAGACAGTAATGGGGAACTACTAGTGAGATTTTAGGAATGAAAGGTTAAGAGGTCTTATAGGCGGTAGTAGACTGTCAGTAACCGGCTTTTATCGAAACCTCTGAATCTAGACATGACTTAAGACCGTCGATGTCGCAGTTTATTATTTATAATAACTGATTTTTTGTGGATCGATGACTTTCCACAAAACCTGAAATATTTTGACTCCACTCTATGACATGTGGTTTCTTGTCTCTTGTATGTATTAGTTGTTACGACAAGTTCTCGATGAAAAAGTCCTGTTCAACACCAAAAAGCCTTTTGACCGTCGTGTTTTAGAGGGTGTCGTCGTTACGGCGGCTATGAACATGCAGTCAGAACTGGTCACCAGCGAGCAAATTCCTGAGAGACTAAAGGTGTGTATGATAACGATTTTACAACATCGATAAAAATCTCTCTAGTAAGGAGGTATTATTTCCTTTGCACGCCATTTTTACCTCCTGTTGATCTTTACCCTTGTACCTTAGACATGCTTACTTTTTCTGGTGAGCTTTTTTTTACTTGTTAACTTACATTAACTTGTCTTGCAGCGCCATTTTGCTGTATTCCGTTTACCGGCTCCGTCAGAAGAGTCGCTCTTCACTATTGTTACTTCCGTACTGGAGGTGAGTACAACCATGGCTCTCTGTTTAACTTCATCAAGAACGCGCAGCAGAACAAAACTAAAGGTTTTCAAGACTAACTTCAAAGCTTGGCTGAGAAAAAAATTAGTCTATCATTCATCTGCTATGTAACTATTTTGACTCTTTTCGATTGTTTCATTTGTTTAGGCTAACATGGCTCAGAATCAAGGCATGGGTTTGCCACAAGAGTTTCACGAGCAGATAGTGATGGCGTCGTGTATGCTGCTCAACAGTTTGCAGGATGTACTAAGACCTTCGCCAACTCCTGGAAGGTGTCATTACCTGTTCAATCTCAGGGAAATCACGAGGGTGTTTCAGGTAGCTTACATGCTCCGAAATTAATCGCAACTTGAACTGTACATGTGGAGGTTGCTAGCTAATTAACAAGGGAATTCCATGTTGCTTTACATCTGTTTCGTAATAGATCACAGATGGCTTCAAAATGGGATATGAACGAAAACGTGGCACGTGATGTGCAGCCGAGTGTGTCACTAATGTTCTTACCACATTTTGACGTCATATGTGATCTGTTACTGAACAGACTCACGGAAACATGGAATCTTTTTTTTTTTTAATGATAAAAAATGTGTAAAATGTTGTTAACGATGACGTCATTTAAGCGTTTGTCTTCCAAAAGTAAAAGCCAATCAAAATTTAGCTCATCATATAACTAGTATTTCATAAAAGTTCACGTCTTTTATAAGAGAGTTTGGAAACAAAACGTATTACATGGGTGGTGATTGGGCCGATTGAATGGACATTGGATAATACTCCGTCTAAACCTCGATGGCCTTAGATATGTTTTACTCAGGCGTGGACAATTTTCTCCTACCGTTATATTACACTGGTCTGCTGCTACCAAATTGTTTTTAAAAAATACTTGACGCTGTGATCGAATCGAGGGGGAGAGTCACGGGAAGGGGCACAAATGGACGTGCCTTGGGATTTCTATCTGGGTAACATTACTCTTGATCCTCCTGAGATCTCCGAAAACGGTATCGATCGCTAAATATATTTAGATACTTTTGGAAATGAGGCAATTGAAATGATGTTTCAGTCTGTTGACTCGATCCTCTTTAAGAAAAAAGTTAAAATGCATAGTGAAAGCACGTCGGTTGAAGATTTGTTTTTTGTGTGTCAGAATATCGCAAAAAAATAGTCCCCCAGTGCTAATGCACTGGCAAGCAGGCAAGTGATACGAACCAGGTATATTATTAATTTTGGGGTGTATTGTTACTAGTTGGAAGAACTTTCCTTGAGATTCTGGGAGTGGTAGGGTTGAAGTAGACTTGCATTTTCTTTGTTGTGACTACTGGATGTTTTAATTTCAGGGGTTAAAAAATTGTTCAGAGGAGATGCAGGCTGATGAGGAATACGTGGTATCCCTGTGGCAGCATGAAGTAACACGAGTGATTAAGGACCGTATATGCCGATCATTAGATATTAAATGGTTTGAGAAAACTCTCAAAACAATTATTAAAGAGGTACAACTGCAAAAAAAGTTGCTTTGATGGACTCAGTAGTTTGTTATGTACAGAGCAGATAAGCTTATTCTTTTTGTTTTGCTTCAGAACTTTCCAGAGCTTCCTGCCAATTCTCCGTCTCCACTGTTTATTACTTTTCCTCTGGATGCAGGACTTTACGCTCAACGCCCTGTGACTCAGGGACGTGTTGCACCAAAGGTTTGTTGTAGAAAAGATTTCAAAGTAAAACGAAATCACGTGAAATGAAGTACTGTAAATTTAACACTGCAGCAGCCCTCCAAAGGAGCCATACCAGGTAGATAGGAATTCGACCAAACATGAGTTTGGGGTCTGGATTCACCAACCTTGCTGTAGATTTATTGAGATAAGAGGGGTAGACATTTTTATGAATATTATGAATGTTTTTTTATACGGTTTTCTTCCAATATGAACACTTTCCTTTCTCATCATTTGCAATGTTAAAAGCTTGGTGAAAATCCTAAGCAAATAAACCTTATTTAAAGTAGTGGACAGCACCAATCTCCGTCGTGGATTTGGCGATGAATATTCGACTTTTTGTTTTGTTTGTTGTTGCAGATCCTTCTTCAAGCCATAAATAACATTGAAGACGTGTCCGCTTGTTTACAAAGCTATCTGAAGCGTTACAATGACGAGTTCAGCGGACTGGATTTAATGATCTCATCTCATGTCATGTTTCATGTTGTCCGTCTGCATAGAATCTTAAGTTATAAGAACAGGTAAACAGCTGATGAATTAAATCATATCGAAATCTTGCCATACTGGAATTGATACGCTTTATTTTGATAAATCTGGTTGAGTGAGTTCAGAACCACTGTATTTTAGCCAAGAGAAGAAGAGATGAAAAGACTGAATTAGCCTTATTCCTTGGTTATGCCTGTAAAGTTATTTGTAGAATCATACCATGTTTCCGGTGAGCAGGAGTGAGGCTAAGGGTGAAATTGTTGAGATACAAACGTTGTTGCTTTTCAAATGTAAATTACTTTGTTATCGTGCTAACTAGATACTAGTCTATATCACAACAAGGTCACCTTCAGCCTCACTCTAAATCAAAGGCTTGGCAACTAAGTACACAACTGTAAAATGACCTATTATGTTACAAATACCTCGCATGCTGCGTTGGATCTCCACGTGAGGAAAATTCACGATAAGGGGTTCATTATTTCTTGACACTCCTGAGATCTCTGGAAACGGAAGTAATCTAGAAATAGAGAACTTTAGATCCTCGGAGGAGTTAGCTACGAATAGACGATTTGAGTTCGCGCGGAATGCATACCAATAGAAACTTGCAAGGCTTCATTATGATCTCTATGATCAACACAGTTAGTTCACTTGTAATTTTCGGACGCAATCAAGTTCTTGCCTGACTGAAAAACTATGAAAGCTGTGGATGCATCGGGATATTGTTTGCGCCAAAACGCTCTACCACTAATGTCCACGGATGTTGTGTTTTTCTGCCAAACTAACCCATGGTTCGCGCGCCCTTTGTTTCAGTTTTGGAAATTCTCAAGCTCGTAATCATATTCACCCAAAACTCACGAGGAATCTAATTTACGGCCTGTCTGGGGATTTCAATCTCTGGACACCATTCTCTCCTGATTTGAGTCTTACGTGAGTCTCTAATCTTCCTTTTCTCAATAATTTATTCTTTTCTAACAGAGGGAATGCATTGCTGATTGGGTCGATAGGGACTCACCTCAACTCCCTTGCAGCTTTAGCATTGTACATGCTGGAGTATCCCATTCACCCTGTGGACTGTTCTTATCCAAACACGTTCCTCGATGGACTCAGATCTGCTGTGCGTCAAGCTGGCTGCGATGGAAAGACCACCACTGTCTTGTTTACTGTAAGTATAGAAGTGGACCTGAACTTCCAGAAGAACAATTTCACATCGTTTCTGTTTACCAAGATTCAGAGTGAACTAGTTTTATAAAAAATCTCAGTGGTCGAGAATCCTAAATGCTCTAGTTGGAGCTAAGAGTGATTAGCTTCTAATGTCTCTTTACAATATCACCCGAATCAACCATTAAGGCCACAAGAATGAAGGAAATGATCCTTAACTGAAGAAGCTCTTAATTGTTCAACAAATTCTTCTTGTTAGCACCTTAGAGATACATGCAAATGTCAGGGTCTAAAGGGTCATTCAGGCCTCCTGAAACTGTCTAAAAGAAATCAGGGATGCAAAAGTTATCTTTGATTTTCGAAATCGCCTTTTCGGGCGGAATCAAGATATTAAGATCAACTTTACAGTCAAAAAATCTTTTTGTTCAAATAGTTTACCATTTAAGTGTGAGATAATTTCTTTCAATGGTGGTGTTATTTTGATTTGAAAATCATGTTGTTTTTATCCAGGCACCAGATTTAAGGGATGACATGTATTTGGACGCGTTAAACAGTTTACTTATCAGCGGAGAGTATCCGCCGTTGTTCTCCGTCGATGAATTAGACAGCTTGCTGCAGGTAAGGTTTTCCTCTGACATATTGCCTCAGTCTTTTTGGTTTTTTTTAATGCCATTATTGTCCCTGTTTGTCAAATTCGCATGTGTTAAATGTTTCTTTTATGTTTTATTGACAGGCTTTGATGCCAGCCATCAAGAAGAAATTCTCCAACTTTTTGGCGGACCCCATGAAATTTTTCATCACTCGTGTGAAGGCCAATCTTCACATCATCCTTTGTCTTCCACCCACTCATAAGCTGCTTAGAATTGGCCCAAGGTATGACATGAGATAAACATAAAAATAAATAAAGCTGAGTAATTTCAGGATTTTCCTAACCTCTTAGGCCGCCTCATGAAGTAAAAACTAACCGGTCAGAGTTTCCTGTCAATAAATATAGATGGTCGCTTTTTAAAACTGGCAGATCCATTTCCAGACGAACTCTGCATTTCGGTGTACTCTTGCATTTTTTTCAAACGACTTAGGATCTCTCCTTCCAGCTGAGCCAGGCCTGATTAATAGAAAGTGCACCCACGCTTAGTTCTAACTTTGAAAACGAGTTCGTTTGACCATTATTTACCCTTTACGCCATAACATCAGTATGCAAATTCTCCATTCTGTTCCTCATTCTTTTCACAGGGTGCTTACAAGGCTAATTTTTGAAACAATCAAGAGCTTCTTGAGTTCATGATCATTTCCTTTTCTCTCATTCGTGATTGTGATGTTTGATTCAGAGATGATTCTGTTGGGAGGGGGGGGAGAGGAGATTAGATACTTGTCACTTATTGGGGTTTAATCATATGATACTTTTGTCCTTATGTTCATAGTTGTTACCCTGGTATCCTGTATGGCTGTCAAATGGACTTTGTTAAGGACTGGCCTCAGTACGCTTTGGAAGGAGAAGCCAGCCATTATCTTAAGAAATACAACGTGCTTGATGATATTTCTGAACAAACTAGGTACGTAAAGCGACATCTTTAACAAGATCTTAACAAAGCTTCTTCACAATGTTTTGAGTATTTTTATGTAACTTGCAAAATTTTCCTAAACCTGCGAAAAACTGTAATAAAATTAATAAGAAAACACAAAAATGAAAGAAATAGTTCAAACGTGAGGGAAATGGTTCAACTAGAAGATGACAAATTTGTACAAGAAATACAAATTAGTCATCTGAAAGCGTTAGGCTGCTTTTTAATTTAATCAAAACATTTAGCTGTATTTGTTATACGTCCTCATATGTCTCTGAGCAAGCCAGTACGTTAGAACTACATGTTTTTCCAAGATAGAAATCTATCCTTTTTCTAAGTCAAGGAACAACATTTTTTCAAAACTTAGTGTCATTCTCTGGGAACGCAAAATAACTTTGTGTCTTCCCACTGCATGTTTAGTGTGTTTAAGAAGCACATGATAATCTCTTTAAGAAATTTTGACAGAATTGATTGGTCACTTCTATCATCCTTTTGCGACTATTCTGTAATTTCGATCGGATCACGCTAAATACCTCGATGCGTTTTGTCACGGTATACACTGTATGTACTTATATATCTTTGAAACACTGTGTAGAAGTTCTCGTATACTTTTGCAGAGACAAAGTGGTTGTGTCCCTATCCACCATTCATGGTCACGTGTTAAGAGAGTGTCACCAGATCCCCTGGGCCGGGGACGACCATCTCTTGACCAGAGCCGAGTCTCCTCCAGAAGAACCCAGCGCAAGCGAACCGCGCTCGCTGTCAATCCTACTGGAGAAGATTAACTTGAAGCATCAAGACAACGGAGGATCCAACATAATCGGGGACGTATTTGTCGGGCCTACCACGTATATACAGTTCATGCACTGCTTTAGACACATCTTTAGAGACAAGAGAAAGGAGGCAAACGAACGAGTTGATCAACTCACGTAAGTCGATGTGAACGTTTGAACAAAGTCTCAGTTTGCAGTACGTATTACATTCTATTAAAGGGGAAAATATTTGCAACAGTTTATATAATTAATATAATTTTTTCACCACCTCTTAGCATAATTTACCATTATTTTGTCATTTCCAAAGATTTAATATCGACACGAAATTTTAATCCAAAACAAAAACACAAGGATACGATCATGTGTACGACATGCTACCTAAAGGTAGCTCTTGTCGTTGTTTTGGTTATTTTTTTAAGGATTCCGCTTCCCTCAGTTTAAGAACCGTTGATCTTTGCACGCACTTAAATCAAATTTCTCTAATGGTTGCATTAATTTGATTAAGTTATTTGTGCATGTTCACAGTTTGGGGAAAAACACTCGTATTAATTCCTGTCTTTCTTTTGATCTGCTTAACGTGAGTCAGCTCACTCATTATGTCCGTATTCTTACCTTCTCTTCCTCTATTTTCGTCAGCCGTGCCGTGGCGACCCTGGAGCTAACACGACAAGATTCCGTGGTGATCAAGGACGTGATTTCAGACACCAAAAAGAAGTTGTCTGTTGCTACGGTCAAATCAGATGAGTTGCTGGAAGCCCTCACTGCCAAAGCTACAGCGCTTGAGAAACTTAAAGCTAAACTTGGTATCGGCAGTGCCACTTTAAGTGCGTTTGTTGCACTCATTGATAGCGAGATTGAAGACGATGACTTAGCTCTATTGCAGGTTTCTTGATTCTCATTGTTTATAGTCTGTGAACAGGTTGTTTAATCGAGGATGGGGTGAAGAGTAAAATAGGACGAAAAAGAGCGAGAGAAGGGTAGGGTGGGGTAGGCGCTCTTCTTCCCCTGACCCTCTTCCCCGCCGGCCGCTTTACTTGAAGCCAATTTCTCCCCGGTCCTTTCAACCGGAGCCTATTCAACGGCTGAGTGTTTCATACTCTTGTGCTGCTTTTATTGTTATCTTTATAGTTAAAGGGGTAGTGTTTTTAAGTAAAAGAAATTTCCATTTTATAACAGTTATGTGGTGGAAAGCCGAAACTAAGCCAATTTCTCTACTTGTCTATATTTCTCCTTCTTTTTCCTTTTGTGTTTGATTATGCTTGCTTCTGATGTGAGAATGCAGGCATTTTAGGACGTTGTGAACGGTAAAACGGATGTTGAGTCTCCCTGTTTGTGGTATTTGCCTCTTGCTCGCTCAATCTTTTCTTGACTCACGCTGTTATTCATAAAATCGTTGGTTTTTGTGTTCGTTTGTCAAATGTCCGTCTGTCCGTTTATTACAAGGTAATTTGGAATTATCAACAGAGCTGATAGCGTTAATTGGCTACCGTTTAGAGTTTCAAAGCCGACGTTTCGAGCTTAAGCCCTTCGTTAGAGCGAAATCATTCGCTCGAACGAAATCATTCGTTCGATCATTCTCTCTGATGAAGGACTAACGCTTGAAACCTCAGCTTTGAAACTCTTAACGGTGGCCAATTTACGTTATCAACTCAGTTGATAATAGTATGTACCTTGTTATACTCTCCCACCAAAGCAGAACCACAGTTTTTTTGAGAAACTTAGCCCCTTAATTTGTTCCTTTGTTAATTAATCAGTCTGTTCGTTTGTTCAGTCATATATTTGTTTATCAATTACTCCGATTGTTAGCGTTTGATTTTAGCGGTAGTTTAAGGCCTCACTCGTACTCCAATATCATGGTTATTCTTACATTTCGTCTCCATTTGATTGTGCGCGGTAGGATGATGAAGCGGACGAGTTAGATGAAGAGTTTGAGAAACTGAAGAAAACCAACATAAAGAGCCGCCAATTGAAGGTACTGGAGGCGATTTCTCACGCAGAGGACGAAGTAAAGGAAACTAAAGTGGCTTTGAAGAAATCTGAGGAGCAGGTTGGTTCAGCAAAAGTGATTCCTCCCATTGACTCTCAAATTTGATAAGAATTTGCCCATTGTGATGTTATTTTCCAACAAATAGGTGGCGAAAGTAGCCTTAGAAATTCACTGCAGAGTTTTTAGTCGCTTGATTGACTGTCGTAAATCCTTGGTGGATAGATTCACACAATGCCTCCCTCCATCCGGGAGAGTTAATGGCTACCGTCGAATTTCCTGGGATAGCTATATTCCTAGTAACCACTGGGATGACCGATGATCCTTGGGTAGCTACGTTTCGCTGGGTTTGCAATACATAATCTAACCGTATCTATGTTGTATGTAGGTTAAACACTGGATGCATAAGGTTGACAGATCTTTATGCGAGCGCCTCAGAGCTTTTCAAAGCCCCCCGCCTATGGCCGGTATGGTTATGGTGATGGTAATGGTGTTACTGGGTAGACCGGAGTTTGCTCCGGGTATCGGAGGAGCGGGATCCACCCTTCCACCCCCGACTAGGCACGATCGGAGAGGAGATCATAGTTCTTCTCTAGGGACTGGGTCAGATGAGGCGTCTCGCGCGAGCTCCGCGCCACACAAGAAACGGGGCTTCAAGGAACAATCTCAGAAGGGAGGAGCACAGGCTCCACTCTTGGGTATGAAATCATTTCTTTTCTAAATGTGCGTCTTACTTACTAAGCTTTTTATCTTAATTGTGTCATTTTTCAAATTTGTTGCTAAATCGCCTTTCTTTCTTTCTTTCTTT